GCTTGGTTCTTTAATAGGTATTTTTCTCCGAAAATAATTACAAAAGCTAAGTCACATTATCTCTCCCATAATAATCATCCATAATTCATGGCTTCATGTTCATCCCAAATCTTAGGAATACTCAAATTGCGAATGTCATAGCTTGTTTTAGGCGCGATTAATAGTAAATTGTCGTGACTATGGGCACGGTTCCCATGGCATGGTCACGATACATAAATATCAATTTGGGTGCGCATTTATGTGACCCAAACCTAAATCTCAACAATGTTATATAAAATGTGTTGCGGACTACGGGTGCATTTATGTGACGTGGTTCAAGACATATTTTAAATGACGTTGCAATCTTCCTAAAATGAATAAAAGCGGTTAAAAAGTTAAAATTGAACCATAGGTTAAAACATGTACTTAAAATCAGTAAATAGGCCAAATATAACAGTTGAGCGACCGTGCTAGAACCACGGAACTCGGGAATGCCTAACACCTTTTCCCGGGTTAACAAAATTCTTTACACGGATTTCTGTATTGGCGGACTGTAAAATAGAGTCAATCTTTCCTCGATTCGAGATTTAAAACCGGTGACTTGGGACACCATAAATTATCCCAAGTGGAGACTCTGATTTTAAACAAATAACCCTGTTTCGATTGTCACTTAAATTGAAAAAAACTCCCTTATACACCCTCTCAGGGTGTAGGTAAAAAGGAGGTGTGACATGGGGCACTCCCGATGTTAAAGGGTTTGGATTCAAAAAAGTTCGTGCAAAAGCCTTTTCCGTAGAGTGCAGCTCCGAAGCCCATTTCTAAGAAGCTCCGTATGCTGGATATACCTAAATAAAATGGACCACCGATCCTAATGAACACATCACTTCGTACACATGCGAAATAAAGGGAAATGACTTAAAAGACGATGATAGCGAGTTTGTTTTGTTGAAAATATTTGGGGAAATACTATCAAAGGGAGCTTTGATTTGGTATCGCAGCTTGCCACCAAATTCCATCGACTCATTTGCCATGTTAGCAGATTCTTTTATGAAGGTACACGTCGGGGCCATAAAGGTCGCAACAAGAAAATTGGACATTTTCAAGATAAGACAAAGGGATAACGAAATGTTGAGGGAGTTTGTATCCCAAATTCAAATAGAACGCATGGAGTTGCCATCGGTCACAGATGATTGGGCCGTTCAAGCTTTCACCCAAGGGTTGAACGAGCGGAGTTTGATAGCATCATGACAGTTGAAACAAAATTTGGTCGAGTATCCAGCTATAACTTGGGCCGATATGCACAATCGATATCAATCGAAGATCAGGGTCGAGGATGACCAATTAGGATCCCCTTCCGGTTCAGTACATCCAAATAGGTTGGCAGTTAAAATCCCGAGGGACATCGACAAGGAACCAAGGTCGAACAGAGAGTGATATCAACCATATACCGCAGATCGAAGGAACAATAGCTCGGGAAGCAATCCCTCCCAGAATGATCGAAGAAACGATCGAGGATAAAATTTTCGAGGGCTTATAAGGAAAAGTGGTTTTGAAAAGCATGTCGATCCCGTAGAGGCAGCACACTCGCCATTTGTTGATCACGACAGGAAATATCTTTTACCCCCGATTGCTTGGGGACTTTGTTCGGAGTACCTTCTGAGATCTCTTCGGCCCGAGGGTAAATCTCCGTGGCCATCACCGGCCCAGCCGTCATTGAAGCTTTGATGCTCCCCCTCTATCGAGAGACCATCTCACAACCGGCGTCCTCCCCCTTCTCCTCTTCATCTCGTAGCTTTTGGGCTACGCCAACAGAAAGTGTAGCAGAGTCGCCCATCGGCTTACGAGCCCTGCTCTTATTTGGCTCCGGGGTATCAGAAGGTGAGGCCCTTCTCTTCTTCTTGTCCTTGGCCAATTTGAGAACCACCTCTCCCCCAGGCGGGGCTGGCCTCAATTCAGAAACATCCCCGAGGCCTGCGTAGAAGGGAATCAAATATGTATGAAAGAATTGTTTCAGAAAGGGACGTCGTAAGCATACATGATAAACTTACCGTGATTTTTAGCCTCCTATTTACCCTTCGCCAGGTCATGCCAGCCAAGCTCGGCGTAGGAGGAAGTTGCAGCCAGATTCCAAACCCAGTCTTCGAGGTCAGGGACCGCGTGGGGCATCCAGGAAACCGCTGCCTAACCCATAAAAATGTCACACAAAGCAAAAAATAAAGCACGAAGATTAATGGCTAACACTTACGTTTGGGGTTCCACTTCTCGGGGAACGATAGCTTCTCCTCGGGGATAAGGTCATAGGTCCTTACCCACACGAACCAGCTCATCCAACCTCGGTCCTTGTCTTTATCGATACTTGTAAAAAAAGACTCTGATGATCGGCGTTGAAACTTGATCAATCCCCGGTAAAGTTTTGGTCGATACAGTCGTATAAGGTGGCTGAGAGTAAATTCCAATCCCTAAGCCTTACCAGAGAAGAAGCGGAGCATAATTACTATGCGTCATAATAAGGGATGCACCTGGCCTAGGGTAACCTGGTACATCTTGCAAAAGTCAATGGTAACTGGGTCAAGAGGACCCAATGTGAAGAGGTAAGTGTAAACACTTAGAAACCTCTCCACATGAGTGGTGATGCTTTCCTCGGGGGTGGGGATCTGTACCACGACCTCGGCCCCCAGTTGCAATCTTCCTTCACAGCATCGAGCTGTTTCGCCGTTACCGAGCAAATATACCTCGATACGTGTTCACATCGGCCAGGGACCGATGGAGGGTTATTGACTTTAAAGTCATTTTTTAGAACACAAGGTTCAGGAACAATCTCATGAATGAGCAGTTCCACCGGCGTTTTGTCACCGGTCAGCCGGGAAGAAGAAGAAGAAGAGACGTTCTCCTTTTGAGGGACGGCTTTGGAGGTTTTCGCCATTGATTCAGATGAGATGAAGCGGAAAGAAGTGGAGTTTGTCATTTTTGGTCCTAAAAGATTGATCAACGGGCGGTGGAAGAGAAGAGATGGAGAGATGAAAATACTTAGAGAAATTGCTCAAGATGGAAGTAAAGTTTGATTCAAATGAGAAACCTATATTTGTAGGTTCACGACGACGGTTCGATACCGCTAGTGGCCGACCATCACTAACAAGATTTTAATATTTTGGGAAAACGAACCAACGGAAAGTTTCGGTCACCTCGAGCGCTTACGTCATGGGGATGACATCATCATCGGGCCTCTAGAAAATTTAGGTTCAAATCGTTTCTTATCATTTTATTCTAAGAAACGAGGGGACTATCTGTATACGGTGGAAATTGGGGCTGCCCGATTTCGTTCTTCGATGGAAAAAGTGATACCACGTCGGGAGGCCAGGACGCCGAGCTCGAGGTCGAAGCTCCTTTTCAATATCGAGGTCGATATCATTTACCGAGGTCAGAAGAAGGCATGCTTCGAGATGATACCATTATGATTCAATAACAGAAAGAGCGAGATACCCGCAACGGGCCGGAGATCACGGCGTAAATTTCGGAATGGATTGGTCTTTGGCGGTTAGACAGCTGTCAAATATGATTTCTTACTGTTATTAGAAGTGTACCTTATTTAGGACTCTTCTATTATATAAAGGAGGATCTCATTCATTTGTAACGACTATTTTTTGCTGATAAGAAAATATACGCACATTATCCTCTTGCTATTTTACTTACTGTTCTTTAGAGTTGCTTTATCATTTATTCCCATCAGCATACCTCGAGACTGTCATAGGTCGAGGTCAAGATTTTGCCTACACATTGGTTTGATCTATCTTGTTCCTTAATTTATCTATTTAGTTCCTTGTTTATCAATTGGCATTGAATTAAATCACATATTCTTAAAACCACAATACAAGTTTAATTGTTACTCGAATTTTAGGGTAAACATCATTAATAACTTGTTGATGCCTGTTAATTATATTGCTCAATAACACTGAAGACATTAATTCCCCCGTTGCCCTCTCTGTTACCAAGAAGTTTTCATATCCTATTATAGGTGACATTCTGTTCGAAGAAATTAGGGAGTATCTCAAAGGAAGTGTCCCTCATTGATTAGGAAGAAAAAGGAAAAAAGGGATTGGACTTGCACACCGCAAGGCAAAATGGAAAAAAAAAAATGACACTATATAGTCGGTGTAAAAATAATAGCTGAAAAAATATATGTATATATATATACACACACAAAAATAATATACAAAAATTATACAAGTTTTATACACTTTTTCGGCTACCAAATGTAAATAGTTTCTGGGGCGGGCTAAAAGTGATAATACCCCCAAAATTTACAACTGGTAATTGAAAATTAGCCACAATTTCAAAAGTAATCGAAATTTAGCAACTTTTCCATATGAAAATAAAATTTAAACAAAAACACCCTTTGAAATCTAAAAAAATTCCAGCATAATATGCTCGAGTTCGAATTTTTTACATATGAGATTTCAGCATTACATGTTGGAATTCATAATGTGCTAAACTTCCAACATAATATGTTGGAAGTTTATACGTAAGAGTTCCATAAGCAAACATATTATGCTGAAACTTTCTCTGTTTCATCTTGGGTACTTTTGTCCAGATTTTATCTCCGCCTTAAATAGTAACTATTTTGCAATAACTTTGCATACACTAACTATTTTTCAATAACCACACATAAAAAGGGCTATGCCATGCCATTTTGACAGCAAAATGGGTCGAATTCAACACAACACACACCCCCCCCCCCCCAAACAAGGTGCAAAATAGACGTGATTTTTTTAATTTCATTATGCCTTACCTTGAAATAGTTCACTAGCCAGGCTCAAGAGTATGTCCTATTTTCCAAATGCATTACTTTTATGGTACATGTTTTTCAAGGAATGTAAAAAGTGAAGAACATGTAGATCACTTTTCCTTCCAGTGTTTTGTGGGTTCTTTGGAAGGAAAGAAACAAAGATTTTCGAAGGAGAACTGAATCTTTGTATAATCTGAAATATATAGGTATTTATAACAACTAGCCATGCGGTGCAATCTCAAGAATGTTTAAGAAATACATACTCTAATTGACGTCACTACAGCTCATCTGGCACAAATTTTGTAATCTCCCACCAATATCTTAATGCTGGTTTCTGCTCATTAATATAAATTCTTCTGTTACTGATTTTAAGAAGGTTAAGGTGATAACAGAATAATACTATAACAATGAAAGAAGGTTCACAATTAGCAAAATCAACTAGAATTTACAGGCCAGTCTCCTAGGAAGCAGCAGCTACTGCTTCTGTTGTTTTCTCCTTCTCTTTGACTGCTTTCTTCCAGTTTTCTGCACTATCGATGATTTCCCCAGTTTTTATGAGGTAGCGGACCCTTTTTCCATTGTCTAGTGTTTTATGACCCACCCGACTGGCAACCTTCTGCTCTTTCGAGTAAAGCATCACGTTTGAGCTATGAATAGGAGCTTCAATCTGAAAACGTTAACACAAAAAGTTACTTTCTTGGTAGGTCAAGGGTTTATCCAATGCTAGTCAAGACCAAACGAAAAGCTCAAGAACACAATTTTCAGGCAAGTTAGAGAAGAGAGGAATCAAAATAAAACCTTGACTATCTGGCCTGGTTCATCCTCACTCCTACTCTTCACATGCTTGGTTTTCAAGTTCACGTCTTTTACTACTACTTTGCTGTTGTGCTTGATGATCTCGGTGATCTCCCCAACCTTACCTTTATCATGACCGGATATTACCTTTACTGTATCTCCCAACTTAACATGCATTTTGTGTAGTACTGGAAGGCTGTTTGGCTTACACTCTTTCCGCTCCCATCGCTTAAGCTGCAAAATAGACAAAAAAGATTGTTCTTATTCAATGATAAAACTAATTGTAATCACGGATACTGGTATTTCATCTACAGAATATCATACTCCCGATGCAAGTGATATATCAGTTTCCTAACAAGTAACAATTAGTCCCCAAGATCAGCAATAGAAAACATGGAAATTGTTAAAAACTGTTAATGATTTAGTTTAAGCACTTCCCTCATTAGGTCATAAGTTATAAAAGAAGTGCATGACCGCATAGCGGTAACCCTATAAAAGTAGCTGCAGCAAAAAAATTCTTGGACACAATTACACAAATATTAAAAGACCAGAAAATGAACAAGATACCAACCTTTGCTTGAATCAGACATGGACCTTCTGTTGATTTGACCTGCATAGTGTCATATGGAGATCATCATTCAAGTGGTGAAAGATTATTCTATGTTTGCTGTTTGATGCAGCAAAAATTGGCAAATTGTGTAAAGCACGTATGGTAACCAAAGAGGACAGGGTAGACAATTGCAATGAAGAGCATTAGTGCAATAAGAGCAACTGAGCAACTGCATTTCCTGGAGACAAATCTCATTCCATATTTTGCTTTCTATTGCTTATGATTTTACAGGCATGTATGCAACAATTTTATCACTGTTTGTGATCCGTCATGGTGAACATGTCGGAAAGATAGCAAAGATATGACAACAGTTGTATTATCGAAATAATACGTAAATAAAAGAAATGTTCCCTTAAAGACTCGTTTAAAAATAATAATAAATGGTACAGCAAAGTTTATCAGCGGCATAGCATCTTAGCACAAGTGTTCAAGTATATACGCGCAACTTCTCCAATCAGATGCACACTGAATCAAGAAGTAATACAACTAGAATGGTCGAGCATGTTCTGTCGTCATATTTGACTTGGTACGTAGTTTAAGATATTAGTTTGATTTATATATTACATTAGTGATGATAGATAAAAATATCAAAGCAATGGTTGAGAAGTTAGTTTAATAGAGGAAACATCATACTATCAAAGTATAGAAGTGTTAATCATGTTAATTTTTTTTATAGTTAAAGCTGAATAGTTAAAAATATTAGATTCTTTAAAGTAGTGAAGGTAATATACAAAAAGAACGGTAGTAAACCTTTTGGAACTTTGGAAAAGGAAAGAGTGTCTGTCATGGAAATTGGAACTGATGGAGTAAGTTTGAGTTAATCAATTAGCATATGCTTAATACACTTTTAGACATTTTTTTTCCAAAAGACATTTTGAGTAATCATTGCAGGGGAGCTTAGGCGTCTTAACATAGTATTAAAATTTTCACTTGCAGCTAGATATATACTCGTCCAAACATACTGAGCAAGAAATAGACCAAAATTTCAAAAGTTGGAACAGTGAAAACATATAATTCGGCTAGCAATGGTGACCACAATGACAATGGTATGGAGACAAATGTTAGAAAGTTAAGGTGTAATCAATTGAGATGGATACCAACTATCCCTTATCCAAAACATTGAAGTCAAAAAGAGACCTTTCGTAATAAATTAAATTAGGAGAATAGAGAGTGAGGGATAAAGACGGTGTATTTTCAAAACCATACCAGAGGAGGAAGGGAGAGAGGAGGAGAGAAGCGTTGGCCGAAGAAAGAGGTGGAGAGACCAGCAAAGGAGCTCTGCAGAGCTGCCATTCCAAAGGGCGTGCTTCAAATCCTTTTGTGTAGTAAGAAAGAACACACAGGTGAGTTTTTGAGGATAGGATAATAAACACCTTCTTCTTCTCTGTCCAGACAACCGATCCGAATGATTGGACCTTGGACGGGTCGAGTCCGGCCCAACTAACAAAGAGCCTATCCAAATCTAAAACTGATTTTGTTTGACCAACTTTGACAGAGGGGTGGGAAACTTGGGGAAAAGCAGTTAAAACCTGGATTGATTCAAAATATATCTTGATGCTTTCTAATAAAATTGGATTGAACAGGATGATGTAGGAGTTCTTAAATAGACCATGTAGTTCACCAATTCGTTTGAGGAACCACTTCTCGTGGTTATTTGTCTTGTATTTTTATTAATTTACTTATATGCAGTTTCTTATCATCTCTCGAAACAAATTCAAAAATAGCGAGTTTTACAAGTTGTCATTCAAAAATAGTCACATTAATCGAAATTTAGCCATTTTCATTTAAAGATAAATCTGAATAAAAATACTGTTCAAAATCTGGAAAAATACTTCAGCATAATATACTGGAGTTCCGGTATATTATACTGGAACTCCAGGCTAATATACTGGAGTTCCAGTATAATATACCGGTCCAGCATAATATACTGGAGTTTGGAGCACCGGTGCTCCAGTCTCCAGTATATTATACTGGAGCCAGCAAAGCATACCGGTCCAGCATAATATACTGGAGTTTGGAGCACCGGTGCTCCAGTCTCCAGTATATTATACTGGAGCCAGCAAAGCATACCGGTCCAGCATAATATGCTGAAAGTTCATACATAGGTGTACCAAACTCCAGTATATTATGCTGGACCGGTCTCTGTTGCGGGAAAATAGTGGCTATTTTTCAATAACTTGGCAAATGCTGGCTATTTTTGAATGACCAGTCCGAAAACTGGATAGACCGTGCTATTTTAACAATTTTAATAGGCGTATTGATAAGAGTACTACAATGTATTCAATAGAATAATTAGAAAGAAATTCAAAAATAGCCAGATTTACAAGTGGTCGTTCAAAAATAGTCCAGTTTCAAAAGTAATCAAAATTTAGCCATTTTTCATGTAAAGATAAATTTGAATGAAAACACTGTTCAAAATCCGGAAAAATACTCCAGCATAATATATTGGAGCCAACAAAGTATACCGGTCCAGCATAATATACTAGAAGTTCATACACAGGTGCACCGAACTCCAGTATAGTATGTTGAACCGGTCTCTGTTGCAGCAAAATAGTGGCTATTTTTCATTGACTTGGTAAACGCTAGCTATTTTTGAATGACCAGTTCGAAAACTGGCTAGACCGTGCTATTTTTACGAATAATTAAGGTGTGAAGAAATTAGCTGGGATATCATTACTATAACAAAAACTAATTAGCTAAGATGTTTTTACTTCCTATTTTGCAAGAGATCCAACTGTAGCTAGTATCAGTTACTACCTTTCTTTTCTCTACAAAAAAGAATGTATCTTCTGATGTTACAATATTTAAATACTTCTCGAATCAAACTTGCACTTAAATTCCGACAACTTCTTGCCCTTTGCAATCATGTCAAATCCTATTAGACTACGAAAAATAATAAGTCTAAACTGCCTTCCATAAACACAATAGTACTAGAACGCATTGGCTCATTGAGGTAATTCTAGCTCACGAATATTTTTAAGAGCAAAACAACAGCTAGTAATACCGGAAATTAGATGCCATTGTGCTTTCCTGCTAATTCCAGCAAAGTCGTGTAAATCCTACAAATCCAGTCGGAAAAAAGATACTTTTGGCTGTTGAAGATGATATGAACATCCATAGAATTGGAAAATGCTGATCCGGGCTTTTCCCCCTTTCCTTCTGCCATTCATTTACCTTCCACGCAAATTTACAAAAATTTAACAAAATTGGAAAGAAAGAAATGCTATCTTACACGCAGACTATAACAGATCCTAAATATCCCAATCGAACTCACCAAAGGCAAAAGTGTGTTGCGAATGGAGAACCTAATTTTACAAGAACAAAAGAAGAGGAAGAAGTAAACAGAAAAAAAATAAACAAATGGAAGAACTGAGTTAAACTTCACATGAGTCAGCTGTGCTGTCCATAGATTCCCCCCGTCGGTGTCCAGAGTTTGGACTCCGATGATCTGGTTGTTCAACATTGATGGTAACCTCCTCTGCTGTTGCAGATGAAGAACGCTTGTGACGCTTTCTGTCGTGTCTAGATTTGAGTATCCTTGACAGAACCTNGGGGGGGGGTGATGTTTGCAAAAGTTGCTCGACAATCAGTGCTCACGTGTCCCTAAAGCTAGTAGTGACATTTTGAGGAGTAATACATGCAACAGTGATAAGCTAACTGCAGACATGGACTACAGGATGCAGGAACCTTGAAGACTCAGACCCCAGTATCTCTTTTGCTGGGGTCTGTTTGATTTATGAAACAGCTATTGCATTCTTTTACTATTTTCTCTCATTTTTAGAAAGAAATGCCCTGTGAAATTTGTCTCATTTCCTTCATAACTCACCACCATCACCAATTATGCAACAAGGTCCTTGCAAGCTTTTCCACTAAAAACTTGTGCACTCAGAAACAAAAGAGAGTAAACATACAGTACATCCAATGTGAAACATGGCACTCAAAACTGAATTAGGCAATATAAGAGCAAAGAGAGTAATATCTACTAGAAGCAAAATTCTATTGCAAGTAGATACTATACAGTATATCCAATGTGAAAAACGGACTTATTTGAATCAATGTTGAGTGAAAATAAACATATGATGAAGTCATCCAAGTACAACCAGGAAAGACATAGGAGTAAACAAAGATATTACAACAAAAAAGTAAGGAAAACTAAAAGAAAAGAAAGAAGGCATAAGCAATCTCATAAAGCTGTATATGCTCAAGAAATCATGGGCCCTTAGTTCTCACCATATCATCGTCAAAAAATAAAGGGCAGCCCGGTGCACTAAGCTCCCGCTATGCGCGGGTCCGGGGAAGGGCCGGACCACTAGGGCCTATTGTACGCAGTCTCACATCTCATAATGAGAGGGGAGAGAGAGAGAGAGATAGAGAGAGAGAGAGAGAGAGAGAGAGAGAGAGAGATCTTACTAGTTCAACATACTCGATAAGCCCCTGAAGAGGGTTTCTACCAGCAATAAGTTCAAATAGTAAGACCCCAAAGCTGTAAACATCACTTTTCTTAGTGAATGACCTAGTTGATATATATTCAGGATCAAGATATCCGAATGTTCCACGGATGTTGGATACATGTTTACTGACCATTTCTTCCCTTGAAAGCCCAAAATCAGCAACCTATGTATTAAACCCAATGATTAGCATTAGCCCGAAATGGCCTTACAGTATGACCGCCGCAAAATCTGCCATTTAATTATCATCAAAACCAAAGAAATCTATGCCTTTTACTTCACTTTTGGAGAGAAATAAGAAATATATTTGGCAACTGCATACCCTAGCTCTCATTGACTGATCCAACAAAATATTGGATGATTTAATATCCCGGTGTACAACTGGAGGAACTGCCTGAAAAAGGAAATAACAAAGATTAAAGAGGTCAGTGAATGAGCAATATACGGTAGCAGGAGAGTTGCCACTACGCATGATTCAGAAATTGAGATCCCCAAAAATGTATTTTGTATGTGAATGGTAATTTGTGCTTATTTCAAGGAACCGTGGTACAGAAGAGAGATTGGTTGTTAATCATGTTTCAGAAGCATTAAATGCAAATTATGGGAGAAGATTACCCCGTCGTGAAGATACTCTAAGCCCCTAGCCACATCAAGAGCAATTTGAACTCTCAAATCCCAGCACAACGGTTCAAGCTTTTCATCTGTCAAACAGTAACTTTGTTAAAAGACTAACATATTATCATGCATGCGAGAGGTTATCCTGGAAGCAAATATCTGGTGATTTTACAATATTTTACAATTTGCTATGAAAACTTTGATTGCATGAGTACATAATATGCTAGTCAAAAGACAAATGCCAGTATAACGTGAATCTCACAGAACACAATGGAGAATTTCCAATTTGAGGTGGTGAGATATAGTCATATACAGTCCCTAGTATTCAGTGTATGTGCAGCCACAAGTGTCATGGACTGGCAGCGCTAAACTGGGCCTTAGGGAGCCGTGCTATAAACTAATTAAATAGTTTGCGCTGAACGCATACAAATGGAGGACATCACGGATATAAGAAAATATTGTTCAGAACGGAACTCATTTCTAGACTGCTTGAATATACAGTGGTGGGTAAGCACCAGACTGACAACACCCAAAATTTAGCTATTGCTGGCAGTAAACTGCTGAAGACTAATCAAGTTTACCCTAACTATAGTTCAATTTACTGCAAATTAACTTCTTGTGATTTTGGTGATTTGAGAGAGATCTGATAATATGCACAGTTAATTATTGCCTTAATCAAACGATGACCAATATATGTCATTCAATGCAACATAATTGAGGTGAAAAATGCACATCCAGGCATGCAATATTTGGTAATATCAGCATCATCCAATCAGAGAATGTTTTCAATTTGTAGAATGTTGCGGGAAAAGGCACTGTCAAGAATGCCTCTCAAAGAATTGTTTCTCCCACTAAATCATCAGACAGAGTTCTCCATAGCATACCGTACAAGTGAGAAGCCAAACTGCCTCTGCTCATGTAAACGTAGATAAGCATATGCTGACCCTTCTCTGCACAATATCCAACCAAATTCACCAGGTTTCTATGATGTAGCCTTCCCAGTAACATGACCTGTGGAAATAAAAGAAGCTGGAAGTCAATTTAGTTTTTTAAAATTTACAATATAAAATGTAGTTCAGCAATTACAGCATACACATATGGTTTAGCACAAAATACGAATAAAAGAATGAGGCTCAGAGGATATCTGGAACCCTACAGGATGAAAGGTTTTGTTAACTTAAAAGCACTACAATTTGCATAAATTTTTTGGTGTGCTGTGGCATTTAGAGAACATTGTACACATTAGGAGGATACAGCAATTTCCTGTCCCCTCTTGCTTAGGATCAGTTGCAAGCACTTCACCAACTACTGAATCAAAATATGAGCGGAGTTATAGTAAATATACCCTTCTCTTTTTGTTTGTAAACTGGATGTTTGTTAAAGATCACTAGAGGTTGTAATGCTAGCATGTTCTCTAAGTGATATCTCATGATTTAAGGTAAAAAATTTACGAAGTAAAAAAAGTGAGTAAACTTATTTAGCATTCCACGACTACACCATATTTATCAACTGGTTGTTTAGTGAACTGGCTTTTCCATATGTTAACGCAGTCAACATGGTTGTTTCCCAGTTCCAAAAGTTGTCAAAATTTACGAGAAATGTTTGAGCAAGGTGACTTGTCAAATAGATGGCAAACCATCATGAAAGGTATGCTTCTCTGACGTTTAGAGTACCTCTGTTTGGAATTCTTTCTCTCCTTGTTTGGAATCAGTTGCGAGCACTTTGACAGCAACTGTCTCACCAGTAGACATCTGAGCCTTATAGACAGGACCATAGGCCCCTTGACCAATCAATGTGGTGAAGTTGTAGGTTGCTCTTTGCAAATCCCTGCCCATTAAGAAAGAGTACGTTAACTAAATGTTTAAGCATCTCTCAGAATAAAAACTTCAATAGAATGTAAAGGATTATAGAAGATAAATATATATGGTTCAAAAGCTGCTCATTGATTAAAGGTTCTTCTGTGGCATTCTGATATCGGAAAACACATTGTTCTAGAAATGGTAAAATTAAAATATGCATATACAAAGGTTTAACATTTAGACAAATCCTTAATCGCAATATTGACCATATTAAAACAAATTCATTACCCAATAGGCACTAATATTCATTTTCAAAGTTTTTGATTTCAGGCTAACATCTCCTATTTCTGCCTAACCGCAACATTGACACCAAAACTCTTCAAAAGAGGCTTCATCAGGCATGCAAACCACATGGGAAAGTTTACAAATGGGAAAGAAGTGAGACACGCGTTAGCATATGTGAAATGGCATATTTACCATTCCAGAAAAAGAATGGGTGGGCCAAGGGTCTATTGGTAACAACCTTTGTACCTCGCACAAGGTAGGGGTAAGGTGTGCGTACACTCCACACTCCCCAAATCCCACTTGTGGGATCACACTGGGGATGTTGTTGTAGAAAAAGGATGGGTGAAGGTTGATTGCTGGTTTGCTTTGTGGGAGAATTGGCAACAAACATTCATAAGGTTTAAGCATATCAAATGTAGATTATTTTGAGTTAGCATATGGACAGACTATCACGGGGTGAAAGGGCTACTGAGACATAACTGCTGTGAGTTAGGCAGCTCAGCAGCTTCATTATATGCCTTCCTATTGCGATTACTTAGCAAAAAGTCTGGTTGATGTTGATACTTTGTGCTTCTCAAAGGAGAGCTAAGTGGGTTGATACTGGTTGAAAGGCTAACATATATAGTGTATTGATTAAGATGTGGATCTAGCTGGTGCAAGTAATGCCAAACAGTCATGAAAAAGTAGTGTATGATAATTCGGCACAGTTATGAATCAAAAGCAGATAATCATGGCCCTAAGATGCAAGGTCTATTTATTGAAGAGTGCAATTTATGGTCAATAATGTGAAGGGAATTGCAAGACCATTCATCAGACTTATGAATCAGAGGCATTAATTGGATATTGCCATGGCTCAAAGATGCAAAGTCTTGCTACTGGAGTATGTTCCTAGTTTTACAGAACATCCACAAAGATACACTGTTGGAATTTTAAACAGAAAATTTTCAAAGGAGCCAGACATTAGGATGGTCGCTGTTTGAACTTAAGCTTCCTACAGTCCACGATACTTTCTGTGATAAAGAGTAAATAAAAGGAATGCTTCATTTCTGCTATGGCAAGTACTGTAAGGACATGGTTAAAATGAAAAAGGAAGTTTGGATTTCCTAGGATCCTTCTACTTTATTCTACTTGTGGTGATTGAAACAACTATAATAGAATAAGTACTGATTTTGAACAAGCTCTACAATAATAAGCCATGGAAAAACTGTTGAATCTCATTTCACTTTGCACATACAATGAGAGAGCAGTAGATTGGAAATCAAACTAAAAAGTCGCAACACTCTTTGCATATAGTCACAGTACATACTTGTAGGAGTACTCGAGTATACCGGATGCAGAAACAACATTTGCCTTTCTAAGGCCGCCAAGCCACACTGACATGCCATTCTGGATAGTCGATTTTGGTGACTCAGTACCAATGGAAGAGTCAGATAATACTGTACAAGTATCGGCACCATTTGCACGTATAGGAATAGTGGCAGCCCTCCTAGAACTGCTATTCCCTATCTGAGGATGTCTCCTATGGTACCTAAAGCAGAAAAATGCAAGTATAGCTAAAAGCACTCCTATCACCACTCCAATTGAGATGCCTATAATTAATCCATGTGACTCCTTCTCCATTTCTTCTGCGCACTTCGAATTTTCAGCTACTTATGCATTGATCGCATCGTGAAATAGCTGTAAGAAATTAAAAGCAGTTAACTTCTGCACTTGGTGGCTCAAGCATCTTTTGCACTCAAGAGTCATCATCATCATCAACAACAACAACAATAATAACAAATAAGACTCAGCCCCAAACAAGTTAGGGTCAGTTATATCATCTCAGGCCAGTAATATACAAAATAACTCCTGTAAGTGCATAATGTAGACTAATCTCGTTCAAAGAACTAATGACTCCTGTTCTTTATATTTCTAGTGACGTATAAATCTCGGAAAGGACAGCTCCTGTAAAAGCATAATTTCATTTAGACTACAACTCAAATTCCGAGAAAGAAACTACAACAACTTCCCGCAATTCCAAACTAGTTGAGATCAGCCATAGGAATCCTCAATAACCATTTAGTTTCGTGTAGGCTAATCTCGTTCAAAGAAATAATGAATTAAATTTTAATCCAAAACTGGATCTCCAATTTCATCGGTATAAAGAGAATCGTAATGATAAAATAAATTTATATCGATAAGAGAACAAAAACATGCTTTACGAGAAGAGTCTTGTTTGCTAATTTTAGAAAATAAAAAAATCACTGAGCTTACAGCGATTCTAAAACGATTAAGCTTATTCCACCAGCAGCGAAAAAGGCAAAATCTAGAAATGAATGTTCCATTCCTTTTGCTCATAAATTTGTGGACAACCAAACAACAGATCAAATGAAAAAACACATCGATATTAGTACAAAGCTAAACATGAGAAAGTAGAATAGTACAGATCAAACAGTAATGATAAAAGTACTAAGAAATTATGAAAAAGGAAGCTCTGAAAAGGAGCCATTTTCAAGGGATAGACTGTTAACGTGCATTCATCCATTGTACCTTGAGTGAAGCAGTTACAAAGCGTGATGAAGAAGGATCTAAGCCACGTTGCGAAGCAACAAAAAGTAGGGAATTTGAGATGAAAAAAAGCAAGGAATCTGGTTAAGACAGTGTTTGGAACAGCGGAAATTGCTTAGAGAGAGGAAAATTCAGAAAAATCAAATAAAAGAGGCGAGAGCAGAGTGTTCTTTTGGCAACTGTGGTGGACTCGTTCGACATTTACGTTGAGACTTAAACGCGCGTGACGAATGATGATTATTTTACATTCCCGTAATGCCCTTATAGTTTATATATTTATACACACAATATATTCAGACAATTCACACGTCTTTTTCTTTCTTTATGATGAATAAAATAGAATAAATGATGGTCTAGCCACTTTATGGGCCCTATATAAATTTGCATTATTTTTCTTGTGTTACAAGGAAAAAGGGGATTGAGAGAGACAAAGCTCCTGGATTTCATCAAGGGAAAAGTATTAATCAGTTCTAACAAATTACCGGTCGAATTTATTAAAATTTTAAGCTCCTACATTTTATTAAGGGAAAAGTATTTTTCACAAGAAGCTTCTTTATTTTTGAAAATATTAAATTATTTTCTCCGATTAAAGGTGAGAAATCTCACTCATTTAATCATTTTTGTTTGATGGTGAAACACAAACTTTTCACAACATTCAATTTTGATGATTTATCATGATAAGGATTAAGGGCTTAACTATTTTAGGCCCCAATTTCTTTAATATAAATAATATAAGCAAATATCCTAAAATCTTACAATTAACGTAATCACTCTACAATGTAAACTAGTTTTAGTGTGTAGACAAAATTAATGTAATCACTCTACAATGTAAAAAGCACTTATGGGGGATCCGGAAAAGGGCCGCACCCCAAGGGTATAGTCTACCCTGATACAAACATTAGTGGTTGATTTCACGGCTCAAACTCATAACCTATAACTCATACGGAGATAATTTTACCGTTGCTCCAAGGCTCTCCTTCAATCACTCTACAATGTATAACCTTAAAATTTCGCTAGCTGTGTTAGGCAATCTAACATGGAAATTATTAATTAGCAGCAAATAACAATCATTAGTCCATGATAAAGTGGATCCACGTTGACCGTTATTTGGGTTTAACTACAACTAAGCATAACCCTTTAAGCTTTTACGAGTACATAACTTCCCTTTATCATCATTATCCATGAATAATGGTCCTGAAGTTTTTACTCAGTGTGATGAAACAAAGAGACTACTAATTGGCAATTTGTAACAATTTAACGGATAGTTCTATCAACATAGCTAGAGTATTTGTTTTTTGCTCAAGATAGTGTAGCAACTTATACTTATTTGACCATCAAAGGATGTGGTGCAGTGGATGTGATTACTCCTCCCTTAATTAGAGGTCTCGGATCCGAGCCCTGAGTATGGAAAATCCTTGGTAGGAAGCGCTTCCCCCTTGAATGAGGCCCTACACGGTGCGAATTCAGATATAGTCAGGCTCCAATACGAGTACCGGACACCAGGTAGAAAACCAAAAAAAATTATACTTATTTGAAGTTTCAAAAGGTTGACAAGACATCTTATGGCTCTAGAAGAATTTAAAAAATGAATCGGGATATAGAAAAGCTGCATTAAAGGAACATTTTAACATGGACGAGAATTCAAAAACACATCTGTGCAATTTGAATTAGAGAAATTAAAAGGCATCTTTTATTTTTATTATTATTATTATTAGCATTAATTTATTTATTTTTTGGGACTGAAATGATGTTTTGGTAAATGGTTCGTATTATGTTCTGTTGCGACCTATGTGTGGATTATGTTACAAACCTCTCGACCTTTGTTGTTTGCATGATCAAAGTCATTTTTCAAAAATATATTTTCCATAAGAAAGTCTTTTATAATGTTTGGTTATCAAAAATTAATTTAAAAAATATATTTTTCATTAAAAGAGGAAACGTTCTCTCATTAATGAGTGAAATCATTCTTCTTACAATTATCTCATTACCTTCTAATTTTATATTACTAGCCAACTAACATGTAAATATTATTGTTATTAATCTTAAGTACACGAAAATCTCATCAAAACAATCTTCAAGATTTTAACATTATTATTAATGTGATATTATTTCTTCCGAATTTTTTTCGTTGACCAAGCAAATACCGAAAACATTTTTAAGGAAAGCATCCTTCGTAATCTTTTTTATGGAATGTGACTTCCGTGTACCAAACATTGTTTGATTAATATCTTGTCTATTTGTGTTTTGGTAAGCTCGGGAAGTTAACATTAATAACAAAATCAAATTAAGTCATGTCAACCCTCACCAAACCATTTATCTAAATTGTCAAACATCATATCATACCATAAGTCTCCCTTAAAAGTGATTTTTTAATAATACACAACATGAAATATGAACTATCAAAGTTGTACTAATAAACTACACAAAACACAATTAATCAACCAATCAATAAGAACCTGCAAGGTTTAATTCAAAAAATTCGTGTTTGTTGTGTTTGCATATCATGCCGCACATTGCCACATACAACGATTCGATGAATATTTTAGTAACTTGCCATTCGGGAGATTATAAATATAGTGAAATCATTTTAGATGTAATACCATTAGAAGATACTTATAAAGGACGAAAATAAAGTTAAAAGAGTTATCATACTCTCAAGGAAATTCAAACCCCAAATTTCTATTTAATATTTTAACATTTTAAATCGTGTAATCATCTCCTCTAATACAATTTAATACCCGATGTTTGATTTAACAACTTAATGGTATTAGGATTGATAAGGGTGTTTGGTCTGACTTATTAATTAGGACCCTATTTCTTTTTAAAGTTTGGAAATTAATGAAATAGGAAACTCAAAATGAAATTCTTGAGCCGAAGGTCGGAAACAATTTTTCTATTCTCCAGAGGTAGAGATAATATTTGCGTACATGCTATCCTCTTCAGATCTCACTTGTGGGACTTTACTAGGTCATTATTATTGTTGTTGAAACTCAAAATAAAAGAGGTAGATATTGGCAGTTAATGAATTCGGATGAAATAGCTATGGCAGTAATCAACTGTAAACCTAACCCAACCAAGTTTGATATATAATAATCATATCAGCAAATTTCAAACACGACAAGATATGGCAACCATACGACAGCCCCCACGTTGGAACCATGTTTGAGTGCGACTTTCATTTCCCTCATCTCCTAAAAGCAAATTAAAGAAGAAAAAGAGCGACTACATTAATTTCTTGAATGTGAAAGCTTCATTTTAGTATTCTTTTCCAGCTCATGAAATCTATATACGTCATATGTGTGTTTACTGGTTGGTTGTTTTTTTCTATTCCTGATTGTCTTAACTTAGAAGTTGACCAGGATAGTTTTAACCTAAAAAGAAATCCAAAACATGCCTAGAACTTATCTAGATACCGAGGAAATAGCTATCCTTATTTGATTCGCAACGTACGACACATGGCTTTCATCGGTATAGGCCAAAGGGTGATTTGATTTGATTTGTCTGTAAATGTAAATTAATCGGTAAGATAAAATAAGTAAAACTGTTTACCCTAACAAAAACGGAAACAATTGAATTTATACATGGTTTTAAGGATATGCGGATTAATTCAATACAAACGATTAATAACATTAGATTAAACGGAAAAAAGACGTAATAAATTGCCAAACCAATAGTGGGAGTGATTCCGAACTCAGTAACAGCTTAATGAAATGCCTGCCTTCAGTCCGGGCTCACAGTGATGGAACTCTGATGAACAGAAGTAAGGACAGAGAAAAATAATAGTATATTGCATGTATGCGTGTTACAATGCTCATCATGAATAGTTAGACTCCCCTTTATATAGTAGGAGGATTTTACCAAGTACAATTCTAAAAAAGGGTAAAAACCTTCTTCTTGCTAATCACTGATCCATTGTTGATACGAGCCGGGAATTACGCTGTGATATACGGTTGGGCACGAATATCACTGCCCTTTGTTAGTCATACGCGATTGTCTGGTAATGTTCTCCGGAGTTTTAGGATTTAAATCAGATCTGGGGGGACGTAGCCTCGATTCTCCCGAGGGCAGGTATTTTGCTCGAATCTCAACACAAGGGGCTCCTCTCCCCGATTCTGATTCCTTACGGTCGCGCCTCTGCTCCATTTGCTTCACCGAGAATCCAGGTTTCATACGAGCTCGGTTTCACCCGTATATAGATAGTCCCCTCGTTTTTCAGAGAGTAGGTTTACTGAAATGATGAGAAACGACAGACGCACTTCGATTCCTTCTTCAATACGCCGTGATAGAAACGACAAAGAATCTGAAGCATCCCGTCAGTCGTACCGTTATGACTTCGAACACGTGTCAGCCATAGGCGGGTCATCCTTGAAGGCGAAGCAACGCAAAACCTCTATAAATACTTCCATCATTCATTCATTTTTTACCTTTTGACCAAGTTTCTACCTTCGAGTTTTCAGGCTATCATTACCCTTCTTTATACTCTCATATTTTTACCTTCGTTCCTCAGGATTTCTTAGTAAGTTACAAGTTTTTACCTAGTTTTCACCCAAATAAGTGCACTTGATTCTTCATCTTTCAACTATTCTTCCTATTTTTCAAGTTTTTTCTAGATAACAATGGCTAAATCTTCCAAATCTGTTCCTTAACAAGTCACTTCTTCTTCTTTATAACCGATCGATGAAATCGAGGAGGTCGTTCTTCATGTAGTCGTCCTCGAGATGTCCACTCCTGATGTGGCTACCAAGAAACCGGCTCCCAAACCTCCCATAAAAATGTTTGTCCCCGGGGTTTGTTCGGTTTCCAATGACTATAAGATTGAAAGGCCCTCGTCGGTGCATGGTCGGGGTGAGGTGGCATCAAGGTACATATGTTCTATCACCGAAGACTTCCTTCCTGACGTCCGAAATGACTACAACTGGGTAGGTAAGGACGTAGTAATCTCCGGGCCTGAGGACGCCATTACTACCCATGCGGAGGGGTATCTAAATGTTTACACTTATCCCTTTACACTGGGCCCGGTGGACCCACTTATTCCGGACTTCTGTAAGAGATACGAAGTATGCCTCGGTTAGATCCATCCGTCACTAGATCCTTCTTCGATATTTCGTGAACAAGACCGAATCCCGTCGGTTCACCATAGATCACCTACTCTGCCTATACAGTCCCTGAATCTTCTGAGGGGGACTAATAAAGCTCTAAAACTCACACGCCGAGCTAGACAAGCCTCATTCTCG